GTTTTTTATTACCGCAATGGCAGTTTAATTGCGGGAATTATCAATTTTTTTGATTGTTTCCTTTTGGAAATCGCACGAATTGATGTGATCATTTGACTTATATTATCGATATATATAATAACTAAATAATGGACCTAACAGAAGTTCTCCTGTGCACACGACTTAAAGTCGACAAATTAGAAATAAAAAAAATGTAGTTGATCGAATTGTGAATCTAAACCATTCTCGAATCGACCTGAAGACACGCAAAAAATTTCATTAAAATCGGTCCAGACGTTTAGGAGAATTCAGTGTATACACATGTACAGAAGAATTGTATTTATAAAGATAAAGAAATATGATAACTAATGAAAAATATCAGCTATTAGTACGACAAAATGACCTCATGATAATCTTAAGATTGATCGGTATTGGTGTGCAATATTCGTATACTCGTTCGGTTAGGATCTTGGTTATTTTAATTTATATCATGATTAGATCAAGAGTTTGTAGTGAATCAAATAAGATCTAAATCAAGACATAAAATAAGTCGTCAGAATATCGTGATGTTTCATCAATTTATCTCGTTGTTTCATCGTTTTTCGTTAAAATAGTAATGAACATTACTTTTATCTAATACAAGCTTATGTTACGACAAGAGTATAACTTAAGTAAAACTTCCCAATGTTTGTCGTTCTCTATTTTGTTCACAAGTAGGTTTATTTTTATAGTTAGCGAAATACTGATCCTGCATATAGGTATTTAATAAAAATTTGTAAGTTAATTTGAATCGTGGTCATCGGCCGCTAACCTTAGGTGGTAATGCTTTGAAAGTTTTTTACTTTCTCGAGTACAGAGACTAGCACTAAAAAAACTAATCGCGAATCGTTCTCTTCTCACTCCTGATTTTTCACTCTACATTTAGATTCGCATCCATACTTTTTCCGCTATTACATTATGCTTTATATATGTATATTTAATGTGTTTTTTTTTTTTTTTTTATGCCAAAGTTGCCAAACGAGCAGACGGGTCACCTGATGCTAAGTGAATACCGCCGCCCATGGACATCTGCCACACCCGAGAGTTACAGATGCGTTGACAACCTTTTAAAAATTGGGCTCAGAAAAAACGCGAAAGTATTTGTAATACTTCCACTTTACGCTGGTCTTCTGTGAGGTCGTGGTACTTACCCGGACGGGCCTGCCCATTCGTGCAAAGCCGAGGCTGCTGCGTGGCCCTACCACCGTCAAGTTATAAGACTACATATCAAAAATTGCCACATCTAACGAAGGTTAGTTATATCGCTCAACTATTGTTCAATTACGAACAACTAACGTGCACGTATGCAGTTTAACGCAGTATTTGCAAATGACAACTGACATAATATGCTAATAACAACATTGGATAATTATGTTGGTAAGTTATATTTCATCGGCGAGTGTGTGCTTTAAACACGTTTGGTGTTCAAACATTCGATGCATTATTTAATTAAGTTGGAACAAAAGTCTGTCCAAATGGAACTTAGCGGTTTCTGGTAATTAGTTATATCATATTCAATTAGCTAAATTGAAAATTGGTATGCTCAACGTAAGTTTACTTAATTAGTGGTTTTAATCAATAAGCGTTCGGTTGCCAATATTTTATCAGGTTTAGATTTTCGTCGGTGTGGCAATCAGCCGTTTAACTCAGTGGCTAGAGCGTCAGGCCGCGAATGCCGAAGACGTGGGTTCGATTCCCACAGCGGCGACAATCTTTTCGCACTTTTTCTACATATTTTAATGTACAATCTTAAGTGCAAAGATTAGCACTATAAACAATTTAAATTTCTAAAAAAGCAATGGCGACATCTCTCGTTTTCGAATTATCGCTGTAAAACGATATTCGAAATTGTTTGTATGCTGGAAAGGATATAACAATAGATGGCGCCAAGCATTGCTTCAAATGCTAAGAAAACAATGTAGAAGAATACGTCAAGATTTTCGTCGGTGTGGCAATCAGCCGTTTAGCTCAGTGGCTAGAGCGTCAGACCGCGAATGCCGAAGACGTGGGTTCGATTCCCAAAGCGGCGACAATATTTTCGCACTTATTCTACATATTTTAATTTTAAGGTTTAGATTTATCAACTCCCTCGTTTAAGAGTTTGACAGTTGGTAAATTTGCTAAAATATAAGGCATTGGCCAGCGCTTTTCCTCTTAAAAAAAAAACATTGCACTTACAATAGGAACATTAATCATTTCATTAATCACGCGAAAAAAAAAACATCCAGATAATAAATAAATAAATATTTTAGTACATATTTTTACATAACGTTCTCTAGTAAGTAACGTTCCCTGCCTAAGCAACGCCTGTACTATTGGTACTAGATAACTGATAATACTAAAACATACTTTTCTTTTGTAAATAAATACACATTATACATGTAATAAACAACCAGACGCTAGAAAAACACTATGTTCATCATACAATATTTTTCCAGTAGTGGGGGTCGATCCCACTCGATCATTTTATCGCAGTTGCTTCGGCCTCTGACGCCGAAGCAACTGCGATAAAATTAACTGCGATTAAAATGCGAAAGCTTGTAAATTTAGATGGAATTTTTAAAGAAAGCATTAAAAGAGCTCGGAACCGTAACAGGAGAGTGCATATTTTTATTTTTATTTCTACGTCACCAGTTATTAAAGCTATAAACCATGCTGCAGATGCACAGGGAATGGTCGTTATTAAACTTAGGATTTATTTTACCTCTCCCTATGTCCCGTTATAAAATGGACGAAATGCGATGTGAACTGGAGTCGGGCTATACTTGGCGAATTGTAAATACAAAAGGAACGCTAAGCCGAGGTCGTTTCGGTTGAACGAACTATAAGGCGTGAAAAGATCCAAGTCAAGTGACACTTTTCGTCATCTTGTACCATTTGTTTCATCGAAATAGGAATCGCTGACTCCATATTAATTCCTTTTCTTTTAAAACAAGCTTATCCCCGCCGACTTTTTCCCCGTCAATCTCGCAACGGAATAGTAGTGTTATTTAAATAATGGCATTTATTTTGAAATAGAATCAAAAAGGAAACTTGTTTTTTCTATGTTTAAGTAATGGAAGAGCCCAGCGTTTGTACAAACTTTCATCTTCAATGAATTTGAAAACTTCACGACCGCGGCCTCTCGTGGTTCTGTTAAAAACTCACAGTTAAAAATGTCTATTGAAGTACATTATTATAAAGGGGTAAAGTCACTAACGGTCTCTCGTAGTAACTGAAATAACGAGTTACGAGGAAGCTTTATCAACCGTCACTCCTTTCGTTATTACAATTAATTAATTGGCCAATATATACTTTGTGGTGTACAGTGAAGGTGGAGTAGAAATAGGAAATTTATCGAATTTTCATTGTGGTGAGACCACGCAACGGCTTACGATTGTACTGCCTCAGGGGAAGTAAACGGCATCACAGAAGACTGGCGTGAAGTGTTAAACTTTCGCGTTTCGGCCGGTTAGTGAGGTAACCGGAGCCCACTTTTTTAAAGGTTTTCAACGCATCAGCAAGTCATCGGGAGTTGAAGATGCTCATGGGCGGCGGTATTCATTTCACATCAGGTGAACCGCCTGCTCGCTTGTCACCTTTTCACATAAAAAAAAAAACTTTCCTGCTCAGGTATATGACCATGGGCGACGGTTATCATTTTACGAATGAACAGCTCGCTTGCCAACTTCTTACATAAAAAAAATCTATAGGAGATCTTAATTACTAAGTTGAGAGGCCAATAAATTCTTAGTTACCTACTCACTTATTTAGGTAATTAAGTTAGAAATACCGTTACAACCATTGATTTACAATAAATCTAAGGATTCCGTAGGTAGGAAGCGACGCTAAAGCAGCAGGTCCGAGCATAAAACATGGCATCTAATGGCCCTGAGTATAATGAGACGTGACGCGCAAAGGCAACTTTTATTATGAGAGTAAAAAGTTTCACGGCACATTATGACTTTATGTCTTACTCGTGCTATCTCATCACTTTCGTTTAATGAAGATTTCCACGTTATCTTTTCAAGTTTAAAGTAAAAAAATTTATTCTTAAATCGATTGTTTTAAATAAGCAGAAGAACGTTTATCTTCTCCTAACATATTATGTGTTATGGGCTAACAGGAACTCTACACTAATAGTTTATAATATAATATAATATTAAACTAAATATTTGTAACGTTACGTGTCTCCAGTTACGTTCTGATTTCAATATATCGTTAGCATTAAAAAATTGCACTAGGAATCGCGGAAGATCGCGTCTTCATTTTCTCGTGTTACGTCTGATGCGACAGAGACAAGTGCAACGTGGATTTTTAGTGGGTACCCGTTTCTGACTGGGACTCCCACATACTCCTGTCCCTTCCCCATCCGGTAGCATGGGATCCAGGGGATAAAGGATTTTTCCCGCGTAAAAAAAAAAGTTGAACTCCGACCAATGAGCTACTCGTGCATTCAAATGTGAATTCGAGTGAGAATAGTCTTTACAAAGGCAATATCTTCTAATGTCAGAATACGGAGTAATGTATCTACATAAATCAAACCATACTCGTTTTCAACACATCCTATTTTCTGTGTTATTCGTAGCCTCATGCCTGAACCGTAATGAAAGAAGAACCTTTAACTAATGCTGTGTTTTCTTAGTATTTAATCATTTAGACAAAGTTAGTGTCTCGCACACAAGACCACTACACAAAAAAAATTCCAACAAGCTTCCGACAACGCTTGCTTCGTAGAAGTTGTAATTGATGCAAAATTATGTTCGCCTGAATATTTCATATCTTCCAACTATTTCGCATTTTCAAAGTTGAGGCGTTTAGTTCACTACTAAAAGGCATACTTGTGAATGAGCTGAAGGCAGCGAAGAGTTAGTAGGTACACAGTAATTCTTGATATGTGCTCTAGTTTAGTCCACCCATCCGTGGTATTTTGTATTTTTATACTTTACTATATGTGGGACTTGGGATTCTGTGAGACAGCATTTTACATTTGTGGGAATTACCACGGCCTGCGGAAGACCAGCGTGAAGTGGATGTATGATTCGTCGATTGTGTGTTGCGGGCTGAACCGGAAATTTGCAGATGTTAACATCGGCAGATTCTTCTGCTCACCTGACATTTTTCTTATAATTAAATAAATACACAAATGTAAGAAGTTAGTGGGAACTTTAGACTACAGCTTTTATTAATAAAATAAACTAGTTTAATTCTAATAAGTGCGTTTTGAATACAAGTTATCGAGGTGGTTTTAATGTTATTGTCTAAGACTAGCCGACTGCCTGACGTCAACCCTCCTGGGGCAAAAACACCTAAGTATTTATTACACAGATAATTGTTCCAGATCCAGATCTAGATCTGGAACAATCATCTGTGGGTTGCACAAATACTTGTGGGAATCAAATCCACGATCCCTGGTGCTGAAGCCATCAGCTTAGCAAATACGCCGCTGAGATGTACCAACTCTATCATTATTAAAAATAATTTACAGACTAGCCCGGATTAACAGTAGCATCAGGACATCTAACGTTAAATAAATTGACTATTAATTTGAAGCAATAAAATATATAAATTTGTTTTAGTGTGTAGTTCCCGCATAAATATAAGAAATTATCAGTAGTCTTTTATGTCGGAAAACCTTCATTCAAAGTTCTCTAGTACTTAAGGTAATAAAGAGGTTAAGTCGTATTGGGTGAACGAGAATAATATCGCGTATCGCGACTCGTTTGCATACTTGATAAACTTGAACGCTGCGACAGCTGTGTTTGACAGCGAATCCGCTTAACTTCTCAAAGTGCGTACTTTAACGCCCGGTTTCTGAAACACTGATCATCGTAGAAGTCACCTAACCGGCTGATAAATTGCTTTTCAAATGTTATTTGACTAGCCTAAAAGGATGGTTAAACTCTTTGAATTGATCATTCTGATCATTAAGAAGATCATTCTGATCTATTCAGAGACTTAACCATCCTTTTGGCGAATAAATGAAATTTGAAAAGCCATTTAACAGCTGATTAGTTGACATCTACGTTGATCAGTGTGTCAGAAACCGGGCGTTAGTTTCGGCGCGTTTCACAAAGGCGAACTCTCGGCCGTTCGAGTTGACGTTGTCTGTTAACATACGGTAACCCTAGGGAGATGATATCGATCGCGTATCGGCGGCGCCTCGTGTAAACAGCTTTGTTGGACGCCGAGACGCCTAAACGTCTTGGCGCCCAGCGCGGGACAACAAAGGTAGTATGTTCGCCTCTTTAGGTGTTGAGTTTCGCTTAAGCTTTGATTTATTTCGAAGAAGCACTATAAAAGCGGGCTAAAATACGTAAATAAATAAATGTTATAAATAGCTATTGTACTGAAATTTGTTTTTGTTCGATGACTACTGGCTAAATTAGGTAAATAAAGAGCAGAAAAATGTTCTGAATCCGTTATGTCGTTCAAACACCGAGATCGAGAAAGATTAACCATTTAACTGTTTATGCGGACCGAGTCTGGTTTAATTCTCATAGGTGCGTATTGTTTTATGGGCCAAGGTGACGAGCGAGGCGTTTCACTTGAACTTAACTCTTAACACCGTCCAACAACAAAAAAAGTCATCGGTTTGCAAGAGCGTTACTAACCCGGGGCTTCCTTACACACATAATGCGAACCGCAAGACTGTAACTACTTCGTCAATACGTTTTTTGTCAGGATAAATGTTGTAGCCATTTTAAAATAATAACAATACTATACTATGAAACATGTATATCGCGTGTATGTGTAAAAATTGATCAGGGAAAGACATGCAAATGTACGAATAAAGGAACACAAAATCATTCTACGCTCATAATCATAAGAAAAATACCCCACCCACTCCGTAGGTCACTTTATTGCATAATGGTCTCGCCGAAACGTTTTAGGCGTTTACTGTACGATATGACCCATAAATGGCGGCAACTTTATAAACTGCACGTACGCACATTGACTCGGGACGAAACTAGCGGGCGAAAGTGAGTTTTGTTTACACGCGCTCACGTACGCAATTTGTTACAGACTAAACGTGTATAATAAACATCGTCCCAGTTTATTAACGTTGAGAACAGTTCGCTTCTTACTCTTAAGGTTACCAGAATTCTTCAAAAAACAGCAGCTGTATTCTTCAGGAAAATGTTATGAGTATACCTTTAAATTAGTGCATAAAACGGACTTTTCATAGCAACGAAGCTTTATAGTACCCGACAGACGTTGTCCTGTACACGCGTCTTATATCCGACAACAAATTATGAATAACAAATTAATTAATATATAAATTAATAAAAAAAATATTGTAGTATCCACCTGAAGACACAAAAAATGTCATAAAAACGGTCCAGCCGTTTAGGAGGAGTTCGGTGACATACACACGCGCAAATCATTATATATACGTGTGTATAAACATAGGAATCCATTTCAAATAAAGGATAGTCTAAAACCGCACTAAATGTTGAAGCTTGTCTGATTTTCTACATTACCTATGTATATTGTTAACTTGCTATATAAAAATTTACCGACTCATAGATTTACTAAATTTGTCTAATGGTTACATTTTAAATTTCTGTGTTATCTTTGTGGCATGTATGCTGCGGCAAGCTCATTAACTGTCACGCTTTTTCTACTACATTGAGCGGAAAAAAGACACCTTTTGATGGGTTTTTCAACAGCAAGGCTTCTTTTCTTGTAAAAGTAATAGTAAAATTATTTGTAGGTAGACTTTTGTAGTGCCTGATATCTCTGTCATACCTGTAAGATTGAAAAGTGTGAAAGTTTGTGTTTCCCTGTATTGAACTTGAACATATACTAATATAGATAATAACATTGTTATAATATATAATATAAACATGGATAGGCGCTTAGAAAGAGTATATTCGCAATGGATTTTATCGGTCAGTTATTTTATTGAGGTCGCCCAATGACAGTCAAAGTTTTCCACTTATTGTTAGACACGAAAAGTGATCGAAGTTGTTACGTTTATATCTGTGATTAGCTTCTAACTCGCAGCGACGTTAAGCAGGTCCGAACATAAAACGTGGCATCTAATACCAAAGTATAATGAAACTTGGGACACAAGGCGCCCTTTATTAGAGAAGTAAAAATTTTCACGGCATATCATGACTTTATATCGTCAGCTTTCGTGAAGTCTCATGTTTATGTTTGTATTAATATCGTTGAACTCGCCTTGCAGGTTAAGTCCTAACGATCTTTTTATCCAGAATGTTCTTTTTACTGTCCCATCAAACTTTAGGGCATATAGCGTTGCACAAAAGCTCAGTTTTCTAAATTAGCATTGAGAGAAATTTTGTACTAGTATGATAGATAGTGCAAATGCGAGGCCTATATCTTATTCTATTTTATAAGCTATATTATTGTAAAGCTTCATTAGAATCCATTCTGTAGTATTTGCGTGAAAGAGTAACAAACATCCATCCATACATACAAACTTTCACATTTATAATATTAGTAAGGATTTGTATGGGATATTGACTCCTGTTTACAGTATGTTAAAACTAAGCAGGCGACAATTAGCAAACAATGGGCGTTAAATTCTTTTATCTGTTAAGTATTCTCATATATAAACTTTATTTGAATTCAAAAGAAATGGCACTTACAGTCGAAATAAATATAATGTACACCACAAATTGAGAATAAAAACATAAAAGACCGATTCCCGAAGTCGCAGGTTCGAATCGAGCAGCGCTGAAAAATTTTCGCCAATTTTTCTGCGTAAAGTTCTCATTTTAACTTTCATCTTGAGTGTAGATAATAGCACTTAAAATATAATTTATCATCAACTTCAAAAGTAAAGTTATGTCTCTTGTTTTTAGTTTAAATTTTATTTGAAAGGTTTTTCACACTGTAATGGCTACAAGCATTGCTAAAATGCAATAATGAAAGTATACAGTTGTCGAAATTTCACTTCGGGAGGTCGACTACTTATACTACTACTAGTTTATTTGGTAAAGCGCCTGGAGTGGAACTCTGAAGATACAAGTTCGAATCCCTTAGCGCTGTAAATTGTTTGACAATTTTACAAAAATTCGCTTTTTAAGTTTTTTTACATAAATAAATAATATGCACTTACTACACACAATGCATTTCTGCCAAAAATTATATAAATGCCGAATATCTTCGCTCGTTTCGTTGTAGCTAAAGACATTCAGATACATTTTTAATTCTGAAAATACGTTATTTTTTTCCTCGACATACCCCTCACTATCGTAGAATAACGCCTTATCCATCATGTGGCTAGGTTCAACTACCAGCCTTTAACTACTTCAACCCTGCTTGGGAACAAACACCCAGATCCGGAAACAAATTCTTGTTTCGTGTGGTAATCGAATCCAGGCACCCCGTCGCTGAAGCCATTGGCTTAGCAATTGCACAACCAACACACTAGTAAATTATTAAAAAATGAAAGCCGAAAATCCAAACGAAATGAATTACTTAGTAAGTTTTACGACGTGTGAAGTACCCGAGATAAGTAGTTGGTTTTATAAAGGGCGAAGTTTCCCCACCCGTCAACGTTTGTTGAAAATATTGAAAAATTATATCCTTTCAGATTTCATATTCGCGTTTAAAACATAATAATTTTTGTATTATTTATACTTTCATCTTGAGTGTATCATCTAATGCATCTTCGAACAAGGTTGCGTTAAACGTTTAACGCTCCTGGGGAGGAGGTAGTATACTAGTAGTACTCATAAGAAGGGTACATTAATTTACAAACTACTACAATTATTAAAATGTAGATACTTTCAGTCGCCTTTCTCAGAAAACTGTTTTAAATAATTTTCTTTCAGTTTTCTCTAAGTGCCTTTAAGTTAAGTGGTTTTAAGTAATAACTTCTCCATAATCTATTTTGTTTAGAAATTTATTAAGTCCTTAGTCTTAGTAAACAGCTCGAAGACTTATTTTATGATTTCATTGTATTCATTTTACCATTCGTAAGCGATTTGAGTTTGGAAGTGGAAAATGACGAAGAAAATAGACACGAAGATCTGCGTGGCATTGGAAAACAACAACGATTTCACATAATGTGACATGTTACTTGGAGGAATTGCATTGCCTCATTGCGTTCGCCCC